GGGCTGGGGATTCGAACCCGCCACCTTAGGTGTATGTGGCTGGCGCCCTAGCTGCTTAAGCCACAGGCGCCGAGCCTACTTTTTCTATTTTTAACAGAGATAGGGTCTTGCTTTTGCTCAGGCTGGTCTTGAACCTCTCTTCTTAAGTGATCCACAGGCCTCAGCCTCCCAGAGTGCTGGGATTACAGGTGTGAGCCACCTCACCTAGCCAGCATAACTGCTTTTATATTCAGAAAAAAGTAATGCAAAATAAAATACATCCTATCTGGGGTAATTCTTAAAACCTTTTCACAGATTTCAAAATGCAGAATTACAAATAGTTAATAACTTTTATTAACATAATGATATAAAAAAATTTAGTGTAATATACAGAACTCCCAGAGAGCAATTCTACAGCATTTTAATGTGTTTCTTAAAATCTCAATTTACAAGACACCTTATCTTCCTGCCACTCATCTTCTAATACAAAAAGTTTACATGTTTTTTTGCTACAAAATGACAACATTAAGGGGGAGTTAGTTAGTTCTTTTCCCTTCCCAGCCATTCTATTGCAAAGAAAGTCCATTAGTCAGTGGGCTATTAAAATCTGTTACAATAAATTACATAGATTCTGTACATAATTACAACAGGAATATTAAAATCCCAAGGTGTTGCAACATACTATACCATAGTCCACCACCATCAGCAGACAGGTGTACTGTGTATCTGCAGCCAGACTCACTTGTGGAGAATAACAGCTTTGTTAGGCACTGATCCAGGCTAATTCTGGAAAAATCTGGTTGTTTCTGTGAAGCATGCATAATTCATAAAATTTATCACACTCAATCCCCCTAAAATCAACAATTTCATAATGTATTCTTAATTAGTTATATAAAAATAATATCTTAGATTCATGCCTGACTTCAAATTCTTAGAAATATCTAAAGGATTTTATGTTGTCTTCTTTGATTTAGGTTTTGGTATAATTTTAGATCACTCGGCTTAGTCAAGTTTAAATAAAATAACTGAAAAATGTTAGGCCAAATTTCACATGCACACAAGTTAAAATGGGAAGCCAATGGTAAGTGTGCCTGACTTCATCTCTGAGAGGCAAGGCTGCCCCACTGCCCCTTAGTGGTCTGCAGGTGCTCACCAAACAGCACTGAAAATGTGAAAAACCTCAGACTTTGTTACCAATGCTTCTGAATCTGCTGAAATCAGTACACTTCCATGAGAAGGATTAAGATTGTACTGTTATGAAAACCAGCAATTTAACGAATAGTATGCAGTTACAAGCCAGGATAGTGACTTAAAACTAAATGCTAGCTTCTCTTTGAGTAACAGAGCAGCTCCTTGACAGTCTTAAATGGCACCAAATGAATGTTAGTGATGATGCATTCAGACTGTACACACCTGTCTCTCTGAAGACACTGGCAAAGAAAAAGCACCAGTCTTAAGCAGGGAGGGCAGCCTGCACTTGCCCCCTCTACCAGCTTTCCTGGGCTCAGCCACCTGGAGATGGAAGAGGGGCTGCTGTGCTCACAGTCTCAAAGTTCTTCAGCCAAATTCTATCAATGAACTTGTTATTTGAAGTGGAAATAAATAACTGCATTTTTTAAAACAAATTTTTTTTTTAGCTTAAGGCAGCAGTTCTCAACCTGTGGGTCTCGACCTCTTTGGGGGTCGAATGACCCACAGGGGTCGCCTAAATACATCCTGCATATCAGATATTTATATTACAATTCATAACAATAGCAAAATTACAGTTATTAAGTAGCAACAAAAATAATTTTAAGGTCAGGGGTTACCACAACATGAGGAACTGTATTAAAGGGTCGCAGCATTAGGAAGGTTGAGAACCACTGGCTTAAGGGAAGTGCAAACTTGTAGTACAGCCAAGAACTGTTAGGGTGTCTGAGCTGCCTCCAGATGCACACACCTTGCCTTTCCTTTCCCTGTCACTCCATCTGTTAAGGTGCCGGCATCCATGTTTTTGTCAAAGCACTTGACAGATGGAAAATATTTATTTAAATCATTCAGGAAGTGCTGTCTGGAATGAGATTTGGGGAACTGTTGAGGGGATCTGTGAAGCACAGGAAGAGGTGAGTCGTTGTGGAGACCAGATTTATTCTCCTGGTAGGGGCTCTGTGGCATCGGCACGCTCACACCTGAGACTTACAGGGTCATACCCTTTCCCAACCTGGGCTGTGTGCCTCGCTCACATGTTGTAGGCCACGTAGATTGGGTCCAGCTGATCAGCTAGAAACCCGTCCCGAAGGTGCATGCGCTGCTTCTCGCCTCGCGAGTTGATGGGGATGACGCCTGGGTCCACAATGACCACTACGCCCACCACCAGGTAGTGCTCCTCCAGCACCACATTGGTTACCAGGGCCACCAGGTCCAATGCGTCCTGCTCCAGCCCGTCCAGCTCCACAACCACTACAAGCAGGTTGGTCCAGGTGAATACAGCACTGCAGGGAGAAGGACCAGGTCACATTGGTGGGGCATAGGCTCTGGGCACAATGGACATTTGGGAAAGACATAGAAAGAAGGCGAAGGATGCTGACGCATATCTGCTGATGGCACTTGCCTATCTAGCACCACTCACAACCCAGACATCAGGCCAAATACATTCTGTAGGGATATCTGCTCTAATTAAAACTCTTGCTGAGAGGGTACCGCCTGTGGCTCAGTGATTAGGGTGCTGGTCCCATATACCGAGGGTGGAGGGTTCGAACCCGGCCCCATCCAAACCACAACAAAAAAATAGCTGGGCATTGTGGCAGGCGCCTGTAGTCCCAGCTACTCGGGAGGCTGAGGCAAGAGAATCACCTAAGCCCAAGAGCTGGAGGTTGCTATGACGCCACACACTCTACTGAAGGCAACAAAGTGAAACTCTCTGAAGGCACTCAAAGTGAAGACTTGATGATAAAAGCTGTCCTCATCACACACCAACACAAGCTCCCCATGAAGTGACTAAACCATGAGCCACAATCATCTAAATTAAGAAATTCTCATCAAAGTAGAAACACTGTGGGAAGAGAACTGTGGGACCTGTGCATTTAGGGACAGTCTCTTGGTTTAAAACTCATTAGGGAAAGAAGAAAAAACAAGCAAAACCCAAAGACATCAAGGCATGCTTTGGTACCATGTTCTGTAATATTAGCCCAGGAGAGAGGAACCCACAGGTCCTCTCATGGAGGGCAGGTGGCTGCCAGCACATCCAAGGTGGACAGAATTCATCTAACACAGCACCCAGCTCTGCCAGGTACTAAGGTGACCATGCAGGAGGACTGACGCATGACCTGGCAGTCCCTCGGCAGCAGGGCAGAGACTGATGTCTATCTGGGCTCTTACCATTCAGCAATGCTCCTGTGAGCTCGGATCACCGATGTCTCGATGTCAATAGGGTGGTACCGCAGACCTCTTAGCTCCAGTGTTTCATCCAGAGACCCGACAACATACAGAGCATCATGCCGTCCTGTGAGCACACATGTGCATGTGCTCAGACAGGCTGGGCACCTGGTGAGGGAACCCCCAGCACAGGGAGGGTAGGGTGTGACTCACACATGGCACCCACAGGCCCTGCTGTGGGACTGACAGAGGTGCTGGCTATTAACCTGTGAAGACAGTAGTTACCTCCAAGCAGTTACAGCAAATGTATGAACATATGTGTAAAAATAACATTCATCTCTGGGAACAGAATGGTGTCTACACGGGATTCACAAGCTGTGACTTGATCTGGTCAGCTTGCTGTGCTGCATGGGGTCCTTGGATCATTGGCCATGACTGAGTGGGTCATGGGTGGGGAGGACACTGGAGAGACCAGACTGCAGAGAAGGCTGCTTGGCCAAGGGAGGAAACAGCTGGCTTCAGCACCAACCACTGCCACTCCCACCATGTCCTCAGCAGAGGCCAAGGGGCCATGTAAGTAAGGGATGTCATGTAGGGAACAATAGCAATTTTCAGAGAAAACCTGTATCAGAGTATCTCTTTTATACCACACAAAACAACATGCTATTGTAGCAAGGAATGAAGTGCCATAAGGTAACTGAGGCTCTCACAGAGACTAACAGGCCCTGGCATGAGTAGGGTGGGCTCAAAGGGCAACATCACGGCCCACAAGTGTACCCTGTGACTGAGCTCCTTACCTCCGCTGGCATCAGTGAGCTCTGTTCTTCGGAGGAAGCCAAGATAGCCAGTCCTTGCCCAAATGGTTTGAGTGTCTCCAAAACTCAGCCGGGCACTGAAGTGGTCAGCATGAAGGGCCTCTTCCCCGTAGACTGTGTAGTACCCCGTGGCATTGTGGGGGCTGCTCACCCAGATCTGGTGGGGCCCAGGGCACAAGAACATGGGCTTGTTACAAACTACCAAGTACAGATTCTGCCAGAAGACACCTGGCAGGGCAAGAACAGCGCTCAAGGAAATGCTGAACAGAGTGGGGCATCACATTGTCTCTCTGACTTTGTGAACTGAGTCAAACAGCAGGCAAAGGTTTCTCCTCAAATAAAGTTTTCCTTCCTTTGACCCAAAAATGACATTTGTCAGACTCTGTCATATGTGATAAGTATGCAGAGATAATTTCACCTTCTTCACATCAAACTACTGTTAATAACTGAGAGCAAGCTATAAGCAAACTAAATGTCCACAACAGCTACCTACAAGAGTGGGAATGGATAGCCCTTCAGACTCACGCTGAAATAGAATGAAGTACTGGTAATATGGACAGTGGGCCCAGAGCCCAGGCCAGCACTGTACACATGCTTATGTGTGCACCTGTGTTTACGTGTACCCCACACCTGTGTGCATGGGTTTCTGTGCACCACCACATACGTGTGTTTACGTATGCCCCCATATCCATGTGCGTGCGTTTTACATGTGCCCCCAAACCTGTGTGCTTAAGTGCATTTCCATACCCATTTTTATGTGAGCCCCCATAGTCACATGCATGGGTTTATGTGCACCCCCATATCTGTGCATGTATGTTTATGTCCACCTACATATAGACCAAAGGACCACGGTACTCAGAGTGTCCTGGGATGATCCTAAGAATAGGGCCTAACCAAAGTCGGTTCCCCATGCTTACAGCACCTGGCTCTAAGACATCCCCACCTGGCAGCTTCCCAAAGAAAAGAAGAGAGCCAGCAGGACTTCTTCCCTGAGTACCTGCACAGACACTTTGTGGGACACCCTTGCCTTATAGACCTGGGTTCGGCTGGCTGAGGGGAGGGCCCCTCAGTCTATCCACACTGAGAGCAAGCTATAAGCACACTAAATATCCAAAACAGAGATTATGCTCAGATCCACACACAGCATTGGGACCCAGAAAACCTTCCTGTTAAGACACTGTAGGACCACCCAGGAGCTACTGGATCACAACCTGTCCCACCAAGGCATACCCCGACTGGCTTTATAGCAGAGCTCACCTGGCACTGGGATGTCACAGGACTAGGAATGTGAGCCCTGTGCCCCCATAGTAATGAGAAGCAGAGCGTTCAGAGTATTTCGTGCACACAGACCACCACTACTGCCTGTGAGCTGCAGGTACTGCTCGCTCTAGCTACAGCAAGATTTGTATGTATAAATGCAGATGTGTCAACACTGCTGTGTCCTGGATGACCAGGACCCCTTCCACTCCCACCACTGTGTGCTCAGGACAAGGATCCTGCCTTGCTCCCTGGGCCTCCCCTCACAGGTGGGGGCCCCATCAAGCCCCACCCCAGCTCCCTATCTATCTGTGCTCCTGGCTCCATGCAGGAGATACTCTTCTTGAGACAAGATCTCCCTCCATTGCCCAGGATAGAGTGTCCTATGTCACCACAGCTCCCCAAAGCCTTGAACTGGGCTCAAAGGGATCCTCCTACCTCAGTGTCTGGAATTGCTGGGACTGTGGGAGTGGAGTCACGTGGCCAGCAGAAGAGCCACTCCCCAAGGAGCAACCATGTGCCTCTCCCCTCACTGTCCTCAAACCTTAAGGGCTCCCTCTGCTGCTGGGGCAACCCAGGAAAGGGGCAGTTAGTTACACAGCACTCCAAAACCCTATACAGGAGCTAGTCTGAAGCACAATGTACACAGGGTAAAGGGCCTAACAGTGTCTGGTAGATTCCCCAAGACACATGTGACCCCAAAGGTACAGAATTCCCAAATCTGGGGCAAAAGAGAAACCAGCTGGGGTTCTCTTGTCCCCACAAAGCATCCAGAGTGCTCACCTCGCCCAAGTGTGAGTCTCCCAGGGGCCCTTTGGTCTCCGTGTGTGCAATGATGACCTTCACTCCTGGGAGGATCTGGAAGAGATGAGGACAGCATGTATCGGGGCTGTGACAGGGTTGCACCCAGCCCCTCCGGAGGCATGTGTCTGTCAGGTCCAGCAAGCTTCCTGGTTCCTGTGCATGAGTCTGATCCTGAGGAAACTCTTCCCGCCCTGACTGGAAGGTGATATAGGACAGTGGAGGCCACTGTCTTGCTCAGCCTCTTGTGTCCTTTCCTGGTGGTCCTCTCAGTCAGATCCCTCACCTGCACAAGGACTGGCCACTTTTTCTGTGTCTTCAGTTCCCATGGGTGAGGTGGGGTGAGGACAAAGCCCATGAGAAGAGGGGACCAAGAGTCAGCAGGAGACAACAGACAGCTAGCACTCTGCCTACTGGGGCCCCCACCCTCTCCCCATGTGGCTGGGCTGAGCCTGGACACCAGAACTCTCTTTCCAGAACACAAATCCAACAGGCCCAAGTGATAGTAAAAGCAGGAAGAAAAGCCCTAACAATGTGGTGCAGACACTTTGGCAGGGCAGAACGAGCACGTATAGGAGCTATTATGATGGGTGGCGTGGGAGAAAGATGGCTGTACAGAAAGGCCATGTAGAACACACACAGAGCATATGACCCAGCACAAGGTGCATCTCTCTGTGCTCTGAGAAACACAGGGAAGATGTGTGGCAGCCTCAAATCTCCCTCAGATGTGCTGTCCCAGCAAACTCACCTGCTTCTCAGAGTATCTTTTAGAAGGAGATGAGGGCAGTGGGCACCCCAAGACCTTGGCCCTCCATTCTCTGCTCTCCCTCCACCTGGTTCCAGCCATGACACCTCCCAACCTGTGCTCCAGCTGTGCCATTTGCCCTACATCTAACCCCCACTGCCCTGCAGGAGTCTGCACGATCCTCAGCACATGGTCCACCCCTCTCTGGGGACCTCTCTGCCCTCCCCCAAGGCAGCTGTGGCCACACCACAGAGTAGAATCAAGCTCCATTTCTTGCCTCTGGAGTTATAAAGGGGCCCTGAGGCTGGGGTCAATTTATAGCAGCTGTGGCTGGAGGCCTGTGGTTCCTGGGCCCATAGCGGCTGCCTGCACACACCAAGACTGTGTTATTTCCCATGCTGCATAATCCGGTAGGTGGTTTCCTCCTTCCTTTGACCCTTTCTTTGCTGGTTCTGAGTAAGCTTTCTCCTGGGCCTACTTCTGCAGACCCCTCACAGCAGCTCACAATTTCACCTGGGCATCCTTGAGCAGTTTCAGGCCCCTGAAAGGCCCGGACAAGGATGGCTTGGATGGTAAATCCCCACATTGAGTCCAAGACTCCACCTCCTGCCCGAGGCCCTGGTAGGGCCCTGTCTTTGCTGTCATTCTGAACTAGGACATGGGTCTTTCCCATTCCCAGCGCAACACCAAGGCACCAGCTATGAGTCTGGATGTGTGAATGGGCTGGGCCCTTCCACCCATGGCCTTGACCCCAGAGGCCTACGGACTCACACCACCCAGTGGGAGCTCCTTCTCAGTTTCTATACCTCGAGTTCTCCTTTTCTTGGTTTTGAGCTCAGATATGTATTTAAAAGACTTAACCCAACACACTGTGTGTCTTAGTAAAGCAAAAGAGGCTTGTAAAGGAGTGCAGCCCACCCCATCCAGAAGCTGGCCCACAGCCCCCTGCCCTTTCAGAGTGATGCCTGAGATGGGGGTTCAGCAGTGTCCTGGAGTGGGCAAGTTGCAGCTCCTACTACCTTTCCAGACTCCATCAGTGGCAGACTGTGCGGAGAGCCCCGTTCCACCAAACGTACCCTAAAATGTAATAAGGGAGAATTTCAGAGTAAAATTACTACGTGGTAATTTCTAAAGAAAAAAAAAAATCATGGGGTAAATGGAAATTGATCCTCACTCTGGGGGTTGGGGCTGTAGATGCCAGGCCAGTCAGGACACCAGCCTTTCTTTTTTCTTTTTTTTTAAAAAACAGAAGCACAGTCATTTCTTTTTTAAATTATACAAAAAGGGGAGGGGAAGGGGCAGCTGGGGGACTTAGTCCCAACCCCGACCCTACACTGGCCTGGCGCTGTCTGAGAGGAGGGGATTTGAGGTAGATCCGGGAATAGGCTGGATAGAGATGGGGCAGGGCATGAGGCTGGGGGATGCAGAGGTTAGGTAGGAGGCTTCCAGAGGAGGGGTGGGACTGGTGGGGGTCAGGAGGAAGAGTGTAAAGAGACAGAAATAACAGGGGCCAGCTGGGGAGTCAGATGGAGTAGGTTGGGAGTGGGACAATAGGAGAGTGAGGGTGGAGAGGCAGAAATGAGAAGGCTGGCAGGAAAAGGGTGGCAACTCTGGCAAGGGCCCAGGGAAGGAGCCAGGTGAAGAGTGGCTGTCCTTGTCTGTTCCCATCCCCATCTTCAGGCCCTGAAGGGCCTCCCACCCCCAGCCTACTGAC